CTAGATTCTGGTGCCAGGTACAAGCAACTCAGATTTCACTTGCCTGATTATGTATTGTCACTAGAAACCGTAACTGAAAATCTTGCTTGAGCTTTATTCTCTCATCAATTCATGTTCATAACTGCCATGAATGTATTTTTACTGATGGGAGAAGAGGCCACTAGTATGACACGGCTGGGCAGGATTTATTCACTACTGGCCTGGTCCTTCACTGAAGTCCACTGGAGACATTCCATTGACTTCAGTGAGCATTGGGTGAGGTCCTAAATTGTTCTTGAAATAGACTGTATTTAAATAACACATTATCCTAAACTATTCAGGGATCAGGACTGGGGCTATTGACAGATAGCAGAGCCTGGAATCCATCTACTCCCCCACAAATAAACAATTCAGATAGCAGAATGGCACTTTTAAATTCTGAATGGAAAAATTATACAGCTGCTTTACATTTTTTCCCCAGGGTGAAATCACTGACCCTTCATCCATCTCATTTTTTTAACTTTACGTCCCATCATATCCTCTACACCTGCCTTCTAGCTAAAGAAAGCTAAATATAGCTCCCTACGCTGCATTCATTCATCCAGTTTATGAACTGGCTGAATAGGTCACTAGAGAAGACTCTCAAATGGGATGTGCACACACTGCCTCTGCAGTTGTACCAGCCCACGAAAGAGGAACTGAACTTTGATCATTCACAAGCTAGTGTGTTTCACTAGACCACTTAGTTTCCTTCGGTTTTGCTCACCTCACTATCCTGAGTGCAACTGTGCAACATCATCTTTTTAAAATCGACTATACTGTTGGTCAGGAATTTCAGTCATTTGACCTAGATGCATTTTTGACCAATAGCATGGTCTTTTTCTATTATTGCAAACAAATGGTATATATGCATAAATATTTCAGAGTGAAAATAACCTGTATATGCATTTTAGATCTGATCCTGCACCATTTGAGTCAACAGGAGTTTGGCAAAGATGGAGCAAGATTGGACTCAATGTGACTATATGGTTTATAAAAAATATATTTTAATTTTGAGTTAATCACGATCATTTTGTCAATACAAAGGGCTCTGCCATGAGTTTATTGATAGCAGAATCAGAAATAAATGCAGTATTTTCTTCTATGTCATGTAATATAGTTATAATTTACCATAAAGAAAAAAGGTTGTTTGTTTATTGGTTTATCTGTGTTTTCACAGGTCCCCCAGACTCTCTCGTAGAGCCTGATTCTCACATACACTAAGTATGTTTTTCACTATTCTGGCACTATACCCAGGCCTTAAATTGGGCTTGTTACATTTACACTCACCTACAGCCCATTGCCCAGAATGGTGTAAAGCGGCTTTGCGGTAAATGAGATCCATGCCCTTAATTTTTAGTTTTTTCTGCCTTTTTATATATCCTCCCCATTTCTTCACACATAGGTGTTTTCTCTTCCAGTCCAATCATGTTATGAGTAAAGTCAATTGTTTTGTCCTAACAGCACTTGGACTGGGTGGAGGGTATTGAGATTCTTTCTTTTGACCTGCCAGTACACTCACCACAACAGGTGGGAAAGGTTTTATATTGGCCCCACATTACCTGTATTATACTTTCACTGGATAGGTAAAGAATGTTTTTTCTTCAGGCCTGATAGACTCAAGCGCTAGTTTTAGTGGGAAGATGGAGGTCTCTTTTTTTATGTCCCTTTAGCATCACTGATATCTTTCCTCTTGGGAAGAGGGGGAAAGGAGGCAGAATATCTTAATGATTCCTACACTTTCCTTTCCTCCGTCCTCTCTGCCAGGCAGCTTTCCCCCCTAAAAGCTAACAGTTCCCTCCAGTGTTTGGCTACTGTGATGTATTCACCCATTATTATATCCATTGTCTTTGACACCCAGCTTCAAAATAAATGGAATTAATTATTTTTAAATGTAACCCTGAAGTTGCATGCATTAGTTTCACAAGTGACCACACAGTTATATCATCTAAGTCTTCACTCTTCCCTCCCCCCTGTCCCATATGTCCAGGGGTGAAAGTAACTTAAAGGACTTACCGGTACTCTGGAGTCCTGAGCAGGGGGCTTGGCCTCAACCAAAAGAAGTGTGGCCTCAGTCGGAAGAGGTGGGGCCTTTAAAGACCCAGGCCCTTTAAATCAAGATTAAAAGCCCCTGGGGCTCTGGCTGCGGTAGCAGCGGCTGGGAGCCCAGACTTTCTAAATCACTGCTACCCCAGGGCTCCAGCAGCAGGGCTCGGGCGGCAATTTAAAGGGCCTGGGGCTCCGGCTGCTGCAGGAAGCCCCGGGCCCTTTAAATCACTGCCGGAGCACTGCCACCGCTACCCCAAGAAGGCAGGACAGCAGGGTTGGGGCGATGATTTAAAGGGCCCGGGGCTTCCCGCAGCAGCCGGAGCCCTGGGCCCTTTAAATCACTGCTGGAGCCCTGCCACTGCTACCCCAGGACTCTGGCAGTGGGGCTCGGGCGGCGATTTAAAGGGCCTGGGGTTTCCCACAGCGGCCAGAGCCCAGGGCCCTTTAAATCGCCGTCCTAGGGAAGCCAGTCCAATCTGGTATGGCGTACCAGCTCTTCCCAGTACGTTGTACTGGACCATACCGGCTTACTTTCACCTCTGCATATGTCTTCTTGGGGTGATCTCATCTTAATGCTGAGCCCAATCTTGCCAACAGTACCAAACATAGCACTTACTACCAGGTGTAGTACCATGGAAGCCAATGGGTTAGATTCTTGACTCCAATAATTCCCCTTTGGATTGCTCCAGCACCACAAAGGGGACTTAATACTGTCCTAAATGAGCAGTTAAGGATTCCCTCAGCATGGGGGAATTCTTGGCTGAAATAGAGGGCATGTTGGGGGCTGGATGAAGTATGTCAGAGCATGCTGAACTCCAGTGATCCCTGCTGGCACAGTGGCCTCAGAGGGTGGTTAAAACCTGGTGCAATTTAGAAATGTCTTGAGGCTGCTCTAAGTTACAGTGGCTGAACCAGGATTGGGGGGCTGGACAGGAAGCATACGTTTGCCTTCTCCATTTCATGGACTCCAAGCACTGTCCCAGCACATCTGAGGACTCTGCCCAATGAGACTATGCCCAGCAATTAGGATTAGTCCCAGTACTAAGTGTTTGCAGACTCAGGCTCTTATATTTTAAGCTTACTGAGACAGAGACTCAATCTTTGTCTGTTTTATAAATCACCATGTACGTCTATGGCACTGTATATGAGCAATAAATAACAAAATAATTATTTTGAGTTTGGGTGCCTTATAATAATTAGCTGATTTAAATATAGATATTTATTTCCTGGGTATTGTACTATATATGCTTACTTTTAGGCCTTGTGGCTAAGGCAAAGTGTACTATTGATTTAACATCTGAGACATCCTTATCTTGGGAGCTGTATTCTGCCCTGGCAGGTTAATTGACTTGATGCTCTAATGATCTATAATACTGTACAGAATGTATAGAACAGCTATGTCTTTGTCTCCTTGTGAAAATGTAATATATCTGTGTGATAATGTTAATACAATCTTTCTGGTACAAAGTAGCCAAGGTATAGGTTAACTGTGAAGCATTATGTAAGTCAAAGGCATGCTGATGTAGGTGCTCAACATACTAATCAAGTACAAGTTAGCTTGCCACATTCTGTAAATATTGTTTTTTGTGTTGGTATTCTAGTCATTCCACTCACCTGCTATTTTGAGAAAACACATACTGAACAGTCTATTGGCTGGGTTGTACAAATCTACCATACTGTAGCTATTCAATGCATTGAGTGCATCTCTGATGCATAAAGCCATAGGACAGATGCCCTCAGTAAAACTTAACTGTTCTTTCTCAGTCATCAGGAAGTTGGTTTTATACAGCCAGCTGTTATTACTATCCCCCAAAACAAAGATGATCATGTCTTTAAAATTATATTCATCTTAGTATTGAGGCTACATTTTCAATTTAAATCTCTTCATGTTCACTTGACAGTATATGATTAAAGCTAGGTTTGTGGCACAGAGATCACAGTGTTCACAGTAATTGGGAGTTTAAATAAAGTCTGTGACCTCACAGGGGGTCTGGGCTCAGGTCCCTAGTCCAGGCGTTGTGACCTGGCCCAGTCTCTGTCTATGGAGAGAGGGGGATGCCCCAAATGTGAGTGGCACTCTTGACTACATGGGCCATTTCACAACACCCGGAGCAGGGAGCTGCGAGGTAGAGCGGCCGCTGCAGGTTAAGTGTGGCGCAGGCTTGCTGTCTGACTCCTACCCAACCCCACCTCCCATCAGCCCCCCACTATCTCCCTTTCCCTGACTTATCATTTTTCACCACACCTCTGCCATGAAATTTATTAACAATTTCAGTGACAAAATCATAGACCAATATCTGATTGAATATATATACTATGTACACTATGATATAGAGAACCCGCCAAAGTATGAAGAAACACCTGAGCTGCATGTAGTTTAAAAGGGTCTTTGAATGTGTTATATAATTGTCCTCTGTGCGTAGCAAAGTGGCATACTATTGTGCTGCTGAACATGATTCAGGAACAAAAATTAAAATGCATGCAAATATTTACTTTAAAGTCTAACTTGAAGTGTAACTATCACAGTATTTACCAGAGCAGGTTGGTTAGAGGTGATTGCTATGGTGCTGTACATTGTCAAATCCTAGATGTCTATAGAATTTACAGGTAATGCTCAGTAATGAATGTTTACGGGCACATTGTTGCTTTTGAAATAGGGCAGATTGCTAGGAATCTGTTTTTTCTTATGATCATTTTCTTGCCGAGTGAAGCTCAGAAAAGCTTTGTGGAGTATGGGTCTTTAGTATAGTGGTTCACCTGTGTAGATGAATGCATAGTCTTTCTCGTCTTCTAACCTCCTAGGGAAACAAAGCTGTATTTGTCTCAGCAGTGGTTGTAAAGTAGTCTTAGTCCATTCTATGAATGAATTGCAATGCTGAGCTAATAAAGGAGACTCATCTGAAAGTTTACTTTATATGCTTTATCTCCTACAGAATGATATCACTCCATTACATGTTGCATCGAAGAGAGGAAATGCTAATATGGTCAAACTCTTACTTGATCGAGGCGCTAAAATCGATGCCAAAACAAGGGTAAGATTAAATGTGAATGATCTGGGTGGTATTATTTACAGGTTTATTCTTTTGCCGTGTATGTTTGTAAACAAACAAAAATATTCACTTACTTGGCAAGCTTTGGTGAGAGTACAGAATTATCTTTGGTTTTTATACAATCATTGCTAGTGTTTTACCTCTCATTCAAATAATGTTCTAAACACCTTGTTACATTAAAGCTCAGAGCTAACTTCCATGCAGGCAAAGCAATGCCTGTCTTTTCTCTGGTATCTCATGAAGGCTACTTCTAGGTGGATCATTTGGAAGCACGAATAATTACACCTACCAATGAGCGAACCCTGAAAGTGTGGTGTTCCATTCAGTTTATTGATGCACCCCAGAATTTCAGTGATGGAGGAGCCCCATCTCCTGTAACTTTCCCAGCCCCCATAACTGCAACAACATAGCTTCTCCGTGTGCTCTCAGAACCCTTGAGGGAGACTTGTCAGCTCTCTCCTGTTGCCTGCAAAAATCTTTGTTGGTGGTTATAGAAGCCTTCTCCCCACACTTTACATAGAAATCTCCCGTCACCCCCATGGGTGAAATGTGCTAGGTTAACATCCCTGAAGTATGGAATTTTTCTTTTATCCATTGAACATGTAAAGCGCAGACACAGTATTGTCGCTTTGTCTCACCTCTGCCCTGGAGGGGCTACCTCATAGAAAGAGAGGGTAGTTTGTCTTCATGTCCCATTCGGTGTTTAGCTGCTTTGCTGAAATTGTCAGCAAGGGTGGCAGTAGTTTTTTTGAGGTAGACACCTGTCCACCAAGGATGTAGACTGATCTAGGACATCAGAGCATTTAGGTGTATACCACTGAACAGCGATCAGATGATAATCACTGTATTGAAAAACTGATTGAGGCAGGTGCTTGGGTAATGTATTTATTCAACGAGCAAGAAGTAATTTACAGAGTAAACTTAGAACTGATGCTGCTGCAATCTTGCCTGGCTGTGTTCTCTGCCTCACTCTCTGTGGTTGCTTGTTTGTGTGCATGAGAGAGGATCTCTGAGAATGAACAGGAAGTGTGGCAACAGTATGACCTGCAAGATGTTTGACAACTTTATTCTTCATTGTCCACCATTCCTCTGATTCCTCACTGACAGAATTCAAACCAGTACAGTGATTTAACTTAAGGACATCTTTTATATAGTTATTACAGTATAAATAGCTTTCAGTTAGTTTTTTTGTATGTTTTAACAGTCTTCCAGATCTACTGCAAAGTATGTTTAGGCACATTCATGTATTTAGCTGACTGTCCATTCACTTGACATCATATCAACAATTACGAGGTGACCTCCTTGCTGGAATTCCAGAGTCACATCATATACTTTTGTACTCAAAAATAATCACTGTATCCTTGGAGCTATTTTTTTGTGCATTGCAGCCAGTAGTTAATGCTTTTTTCTCTCTCTGAAGCTAGACCATTTTGAAAATCATAATTTTGTTTTGCCCATAGTGCTGTAGCAATATAGCTCCAAGCCCTGCTTTGTGAGTATTTGTGAGAAGTTGATCTCTTTCAGTGGGTCAAAAATTGCAGAACTGGTTTTGAAGTCAGTCTCAGATTCTCTTCCACGCTCTGCCATCCAGACCATTCTGTGTCTTTAGGAAAGTATTTTCTTGTGTAAGTTCTTAGAACTACATAGATGAATATGAATTTACTAACATGGGTCATCGTTCCTTGCAGTCTCTGAATTCCATTTTGTATTTTCAGGTCTCTGTAGGTTCCTTAGAATCATCAGCCATGACAATACCCCTTATGGTCAATTTCTCTCCCTAAGTACTGGTTTATTTGAAATTGACACTTGACCTTGTTTACTTTAAGGTTACTTTCTGAAGTTTCCAGTTGTCACTGTAATCATCACTGATACTCAAAAGTGATGCTGCCCCAGACTGTTATGCAATCAGTGTAGATTTTCTTTCCTCCAACATCTTCCTGTGTGCAGTGAAATATTTCCAATGCTGAACATACTATGAAAGGCAATGGCAAGAAAAGTGCCAATGGGTACATTGATTGTGAGTGCAAGTCTTGGAACTTTCTTGTGTCCAAAATGCATCTAATATGCTGAAGAATTTGGCTCCTGAAATCTCAGCAAATATTTCATTCCTTGTGAGCAAGTAGAAATGTTTTCTCTTAGCGCTAGTTTTCAGCTTTGTGGGAGTCATTCCCAAAATTTGAGTGCATTCCCTTTTTATTGTATAATTACTGAGTAGTGAACTGAGCTTGTCAAGTCCCCTGTTCTGTGAATGATCCCATCTACTGTCATGTTTGGCAGCTTTTCCTCTGGTCTCTTTTTGCATGGCAACTACAACAATCTTTTCTTCATAGTCTGGTAATTATTGTGTACCCAGGGATACCCCTTTCCTATGAACCAATCTCCATCTGATGCAATTAGTGCCTATGGAACTGGTTCAGATTTGTTACTAAGGTTGTTATAGAGACTCTGTGATGTTCACCATCTTGACTCGGCCAGGCACCTCATGTGTAAGCCCAAAACAGATGTCTTCCCTTAGTGTAACACTTCAGTTTCTTATTTTACTCTTTGGGCTTTATAATCATTGACAGTTCACACTCACTTTGTTTCTCATTATAGGATTTTAATTGCACTTTTGACTTTTCTAGTTTTAGCATTTATTTGAAGTACCCTGTTTCCATATCTATTAGTACAGTCACTTGTGCTCCAGTGTTTTCTTTGCATGTCACATGTAGGCCTTTTGTGATTACTTTTATTAGCCATTATTTTGAGTTTGTAATGTCTTTCTTTACTGTGCTTATGAATAGTTTTTCCCCTTCTGTTGAGGAAGCTGCACGTAACAGCCTTACCCCAGACATTTTCCTGTTTTGTCTGCACATTTTTGCAAAGTGGTTGGACTTACTAGTTTCCATGTTTGTCCAAATACTGGACATATCTTTTCTGTACATTTATTTTTACTTAACAAATGATTACTTACAGTCATTTGTTCTGTGCCTCTGTCCTATTTACATTTCTCTTTATTCCACTCCTTGACATATGACTCTTGCCTTATTTAAGCACTAGATCCATGCCTCTGAGTAGCTTTTCTCATACTTTTCACATACCTTTTTATTGTTGAACCCTCAAACCAGTTGGACTTGAATGAGGGCATCTTTTACTATTCCATAGTCACAAGACTGTGTTTTTAATTTTAATTTGGTGGCAATCTTCTCTCTTGTTTCACCTTCTCTGGAAAATATAACTTTCATAAGTAACATGAGTTGGGTTTAGAAGCAGGGGTTGGGCTACATTATCCAGCTGAGGTTATGGGACGGGTATAGCTCATGCTGGAAACCACCTACTTTGTAGAGAGGATGCAGGCAAAAATTACTTGAGTGCTAATAGTCCCCCAGTGCCTTTCCGCAATTCGCTCCAAAGGACCCAGTTACTGGGGAAAGAATCCAAAAGCACCTCAGCACAAAGAACTAGGGGATATGCCCCAGACACACAGCAGTGCAGAAACAGTGAGGACACAGTAACATGGGTAAGGCTTTGCTGTGGAGACAATCACACCCAGGCTAGGCTTACCCAGGTACTAGTCACCAGCTTAACTGTGCAGTAAAGACATACCTTCAAAGAGGTACCAAATTGGGTGAAGTTTGGGGCCATTTTTCATTTTTGGCTTAACCAGTGCACTTTGCCTGTTCCCCAGTACACCCTCGATACTCTTAAAAAGAAAGGAATTAGCAGGATTTGCTTAACTTCTCCTGATCATGGCAGGCTGCTTGAAACACTCCTCATTTCACTGGGGCCCAATTTCTGGTAGTTAGTAACTGAGTGAGCGTTTTGCGTCTGGAGATGCTGACTCATCTAGACAAGAACTAGCATCTTGTGATCTGAACAATACATGGCTCTGCAGAGGGGAGCAGTAAACTGAAAATAATTCATGAAATAATTTATTTATGAAAATAATATTTAAATATTTGACAAAAATGGGAGAGATAAGAGAGAGGCACAGAATAGAGGTAGATTGGGAAAATATAAAATGAGAAGAGGCGATAAGAGGAATATAGAGTGGGTGGAAGGAAATACCAGTTCAGAAGCAATATGCCTGCCTAGTTTCCATGCTGAATAACAACATCTAATTTTATGGGTATAATGTTCTCCCTACTACCCCCACAAAAGTGTCATTGCAAGACAGTGTGTCTCTGTCATCTTTACAGTCACTTTACTTTTTCCCAGGAGCTACCCTTTTGCAATGTCCTATATTCAGTACAGCCATATAAGTATATTGGGCAACAAAGACTTCAGTCGTCGTCTTCTTTTGTATAACAACAGGCCCAGTATTGGAGGTTGTGTGTTTGAATGGAAAAGGATGGTCAAGACAGTATCAGGTGATCTATAGTTTAATATCTTAGTTAAATTCCTGGCATGACCCATTTATGCAAATGTTTCATGAAAGAGAGAGTGTGTAGAATACAGTCACAATTGCATAATATTCATTTTTAAAAAAAATATTCCCTTGTCTCTGGCAGAAATGATACAGTAATTGGGGAGGTTTGTGGGTGAAGAGGAATGAGGCTACTAGAGAGAGTATCAGACCATTAAAAACCCTACAAAGAAAAATTCCAGAAATTTCATAAACACAAGTTACAGTTCTCCAGGAACACTGAGAGTTGAGCAGAATTCTGTGCACTTTGACTGCGTTAAATCTGGCCTTTGCCGTAGTTGCCACTGCATCCTATTGTAGAAATGCTTCTTATGGAATACAAAATACCATTTAAAAGGCAAATAACAAGGTTTTTGTTTGTTAAGCATATACGGTACATAAATATTTGGAAATCAGGCACAAATTCCAGGTCCTTGTTTTTCCTTCAACGGTTTTGTGAGTCAGCTTTCTATGCAGCAGAAGTTACCGTGTATATTACTGGCCAAATCCTCATCCCACTGACATCAGTGGGACCAGGCTTTGCCCCTCTTAGTGTTATGTCCGTCAGATTCAGCTATTTGGATGCCATTTTGGGAGC